GTTTGTTTTCCTGTGGCTATGAATGGATAATGGAACAGTGATGCAACGCCTCGGATTTGACGTCATTTTTCAACCCACACAAGAATGTTTTTTGCTCAGATGCTGTTCCCAAACAGCTGGAGGCTGTAGAAGTATATAAGTACAGATGTTTCCACCAACTTTGAAATTCAAGGAGTTGACAGTTTGGGGTCTATGCTGGTATGGGTTCTGTAGGCGGGTTGTGTGCAATCGAAGGAAATTTGGTCCACTGGCCGATTTGGAGATTTTCTCAAGTTCAAAGTGGAGGACACGGTACAACTCTCCAGTCGGTTGGCATGATATGCGTGTGCGGCCAGCAATTGGCCACAGAATGCCAAGGTCATTTTCGGACATGGCCCCCTGCAGCTCTGGTCATTCTTGTTCCATGCAGGACAGAGAAGGAACTGCATATGTTCCTTGGATGCTTCAAGGCTTGGAGCTCTTCGTGGCTCGGCTCCAGGACTTTTCAGGGTCCAGAGTCTGTCCGATGCCTGGCGGATTTGCTGGTCAGGTTCCTGCTCCATGTGCCAATTCCTCTCAATGCACCCAGAGCGAACCACTTAGTTTCCTGCAAGGGTGAACATGGTTACACCAATATCATTTGTAAGTAACATCGAAGCCTGTTCAGGTGATGCAGATCGACTGGCACGACTGGAAGAGCATGTGGCCAATCAAGAGTCTATGATCAAGGCTTTGCAGGCTTGGCATGCAAATCGGCAGCCTGTTTTGTTTCGTAGAATTGGTCTTGAAATTTTGGTGATATATATATATATATAGCTTTGCCCTTGGCTCGAGGTTTCTTCCGTGATTGTACTCACACAGCGTTGCAGTATTTGTGCCACACTTTCTCGTGCATGTGTGTTTGAGTTTGGGATGTTTGCTTTCCATTCACCCTGATGTCCGTGAAGTGAAGGGATTGGCTTGTGCGGACTGGCTGAGTTCTGCCTGCTCGTTTTGCATTCTTAAAATGAGTCTTCAAATCAGTAGCTTGGGGCTTTCAGTTTTGCCCAACAGCCCGCAGCTTCGCACTGCAACAGCGGAACTTTTCATCCTACTTTGCAGGTCATAATTACTTTCACAATCTCTCCAGGTTGCAGATCACAGGAGATGACGGTGCTCAAACGCATTGTGTTCCCTGCTGGAAGACTAAGGAAATCGCAGGAATAACCTACACACACATATACATAGGGCTCCTTTCCCATGCTGTTCACGTTCTGTTGGCGGTGGAGTCTTGCAGTAGATGACTTCCCTGTGGCACTTCATGAGGCGGAACTCTCAGCTCTCCGTGCGCACATGAGTGTGAAGCCCTTAGCACGTGGCAGCTTTTTTGTGTGTGGACATGACCCTTCATTTGTGTGCTCAGGCAGTTGCGACAGCCTTTGGAATGCTGGCTTCCAGATAAAGTCCATCAGACACTCATCAGCCCATGATTCGTTCTTTGTTGCCACTGTCAGGTTGTTTGGCCATTATTGCGCCTTACAGCTTGGTCAGATCAATTAGTTCAAATAGTAATTAGTTGCGAAGCTGCATCCAATTGGCTGCGAGCTGAAAAGAGGCTTGCTGGGGCGGCAGGAAGAGCACTAATCACCATTAATCCATGACAGTCTTCAAGATGCAGAGATTAAGCCGAGGTAGCTGTTTGCGCTTCTAAAGCATTGCATGCCGTGTTGATATGTCACAATCAAGGGCAGATGGGCACCATTTGGGCCGCTTAGGGCCCCGGGCTGGCGAAGCCCTGGGGGTTGGGGCTGGTGCCCCGGCAGAGCAGCTTCACTCGCCATAGCAGGACGTGCCTTGACATTGGCTTAGGCCCCCGCTGACCCAGCCATGAACCCAATGATGGGAGTCGCAAGCTGAGAAGTGTCACACTTCCGTCCCATGTCAAAGTAGCACTACGACCTCGATGTGAATACCTGTGCCGTGATTAGGGTGGAATGGGCTGCGGCGGATGTGGGGGATGTGGCTGCGGTGGATGTGGTATGGGAGGAATGAAGATGGGTATGTGGCTCAGAGAGGGTCGTTAGGAATGCTGGAGCCTGGCAGCCTGCATTGCTCTCCAAGGTGGCTGTGGTGGTTGTGGCGGGTGTGGAATGGGATGTGGCGGTTGCTGTGGTGGCTGCGGAGCAGGCGGAGGAGGGTGTGGCATGGGTGGATGCAACAACAACATGATCCTTGGCTGAATGGCCGCGAGTGGTGTGCCATCATTGCTAGCTTCTGACCATCCAAGGGGCATGGCCATGCCCTCCAACTCAATGATGCAGCAGCAGGCAGTTTTTTTTAAATGTAAATTTCCCGTCATTGGTCTACATCAGCGTCAGAAGTTTAGGGTTGAGACTTCCGCACTACGCGCGCAGATGGCGCAAATGTCTTCAATGATGATGCCCATGATGATGGCGCCGGACTTAAGCAAATCGATGGGCTGTTTTCACTTGACGATGTCGCTGAGGGCGGAGGAGGCATGGGCAACATGGACGAGGCATCGAATCTTTGCACCTCAAGTGCTGGCTCGCTAAGTTGTGAAACTGGGCCATGAGAGTGAAAGGGACCAACAAGCATCCAAGGCATTACCAAAAGAGTGTCCTGTAAAGTTGTTTGTTGTTGTTTGTTTGGTTGGTTGGTTGTTTTGGGTTGGGGTTGGGGTTGGGGTTGGGGTTTAGTGTTTGTGTTTGTGTTTGTGTTTGTGGTTGTGGTTGTGGTTGTGGTTGTGGTTGTTGTTGTTGTTGTTGTTGTTGTTGTTGTTGTTGTTCTTGTGCTTGTGCTTGTGCTTGTGCTTGTGCTTGTGGTTGTTGTCGTTGTTGTTGTTGTTGTTGTTGTGCTTGTTGTGGTTGTTGCGGTTGTGGTTGTGGTTGTGGTTGTTGTGGTTGTGGTTGTGGTTTGTGTTGTGGTTGTGGTTGTGGTTGTGGTTGTGGTAGTGGTAGTGGTAGTGGTAGTGGTAGTGGTAGTGGTAGTGGTCGTGGTGGTGGTAGTAGTAGTAGTAGTAGTTGTTGTTGTTGTTGTTTGGTTTCAGGTTGGCTTGTGCGGCTTTCGGCTTGGTTGCTTTTATAGTTTATTGCTTATGGCTTCTCCTTCGCGCTTTCTCTCTTTGGCTATGGCCCTGGCCATGTTAGCATTTGCCTGAGAAAACATGCTTCTGCCCACCACGGTGGTTGCTCAATTGCCTCCCTCCCCACTCCAAGCCCAAGCCGCCCAAGTCCAAGCTCAGGGGTCACCCACAGTGAATCACAGTGAAGACAGGATCCATCAGATAAAGTTCCCTCAAGGCCATTCCATCAAAACTCGAGTGCAGCTTTTCCTGACAAACTCTGCAGAAGTAGACCACGGTTGAGCCTGGCCTTGCAAAACGCTTAAGATAGCAAACCAAATTGAACAAGACAAGGCAGCCAATATATGTGTATGTTTACATACAAATGAACAATGTTGCAACTCCCACCAAAAAAAGAGTTGCAAATTCAAGACTCTGGACCCTTTGCAGAGTGACCTATTTTCCTTTGTTTTTTCTTGGTGCCAGATGATGAAGAAGATGCAAGAAATGCCCGAAGCTTATATAGTTAAAGAGCGTGATCATCGTGTGCACTTTCTCTTAGCATCAATTCAATCTGCGAGGATGGGCATGGGTTCGAAGACCAAGACCGAGAAGGGTTCGAAGAAGAAGGCAAAGGTCAGGAGAAATGGGAAGAAGCTAGAAAGACCAAAGAATGAATGACATCGAACATGTTCAACAACAGTTCTTTGTTTTCGATGTCATTGTGCACACCTCTGATTTTGTCACTTGCAGCCACCCTTGGTGACCACAGGACAATGCAAATGTTGTTTTCGTGGGTGGCATGTGGCCAAGATCTTTCATCCTGGTTGCGCACCTTCTTGTTCCAGCAAACCAAATCAAAACACTTTCACACACACACACAGATATATATATATATACCAGGTTTTCTACGCCGACCAAAGTTTCATGACTGAGGCCTGCGAAAGACTACTGAGGAGGATAGGGTCGCGGCTCACTTTGCCAAATTTGGACAGGCCTGCCCACCCTCCGATCTCCCACAGTTTGACACAAAGCTAGAAGCACCCATGCATGACATTGCAGGTGGAGCAGGTGGACATCAAACGTCTTCCAGATGGAACATCCCGAGGGTTTGCCTTCATAAAGCAAGACCCTTGGATGGGTTCTTCTCAGAAGCTGTATTTCTGGAGTCTGATGAACCCGATCAGAGGTTTGCAGAGACGGATGCCGTTGACAAAGTCATTGAGGCAAGGTACTTTTTCAACGAGTTCCAGTTGGTATTTCAGCCAAGTTGAGCAAAGTTAGTCACAACTTGTTACTCGCTCTGTGTTCCTTCCCGCACAAATATAGCAGATTGGAAAGTTGCATGCAGAAGATTTTTGGAGGCACATGCCAAGCACATGATCGACAACAAGTCATTCGGCAGCGGCATATTTGTATATGGGTTCAAGTCTATACCAGCGCTTCAAACTGTGATTGACTTCAGGTGGGTTGAAGTCAAGAAGCACGACGGAGTCGCAGCATCGGCCGGAGCTTCTTTTTGATGACTGGGGCGACTGATCAGCCCTTTTGCCAGGCAGGAATGACGGAGTCTTTGAACAAGAAGAAGGCACAGAGGGCACCTTGAGGAGTGCACAGACCAAAGACCGTTTGACTCGTATGTTGACTCTGCATGGCTTTGCTGGCTCAAACTGCAGAAGAGCCATGTGCTTTGCATTGAAAATTTGATTTTGCATGTTGGCGATCACGCTGTCTATACAACCGAACCCTACAGCTTGGTCCATTCTGAGTTGGTCCATTCCGCTGAGCTGTGTTCAGCTCCGTGGCATGTGCACCAGTCAAATACAACCTCTTGGCCTGATGCACTCGCTGAAGCACCTGCCGCACCTGCCGCACCTGCCGCACCTGCGTGCATGGAGGCTGGCCGGGGCAGAAACGAAGGACCGACTCCTCAGTGGGCGAGGCAATCGCCGCAGCCGAGGCCCTTGGATCGCCAAGAGCTTGGAATGAATGGCTCCAGCACACGCTGCGGAACTCGGAGGTAGGATCATTTTGGCATTCTGAGAACTCAATGGTGAATGGGCTCATGATGGCTCCTGCGAGAGTTTCAGCTGTGCCAGGCAGACGTCACCCATCAAGCATCGGAGCATGCCACTCTCATGCAGGAGATGCAAGCTTCTTTCAAGGGGTTAGCCGAGGGAGGTTGCCCAAATGGGCCAAACATGTTTGAAGCTCAGCAGCGCATCAGGAGAATTTGGAGTTGATTCGGTCAAGAGAATCATCGGCCTGGCAATCTCAATGCCTTCAAAATGAGTTGGGCAAGCGGAAGGCTGGTGCGGCATAGGGCTTTTCATTGTTTGTTAGCAACTTCGTGCTTGGCACCGATACTGTAATCCTAAATGCAACTTTCACCCTGTGCATGCACATCAAGTATATACAGAAGGTGATCAACTCGGAGGAAGATGAAGGAAAGCCGGCTTTTTGAGATTTTAAAGCTAAGGGTCCTCGCAGTAGGCATTTTAATCCGGTGTTTGATCATGGCTCAGCCGGTGCCTTGGAAAAGCCTATCATGTACCAGGGACGGCTTAGCTTAATTGATCAAGCGTGATGCCAAAGAACTTACAACACTCAGCATGCTTGGGCAGGTGTTGCAGGAAGAGCGAGTAAATGTGCTGCATTTGGCATCTTAACTTAACGTGACAATAGCAGTTCTAGATGAATCTGAGGTGCGGTTCTTTTCGTTTTGCACAACACATCTCCACTTGGCCGACCTCTGCCCAGGAACTTGAATGGTGCGATGAGCTCGTCGAAACACTCGTAGGGATGCAAAGACGGGTCTATGAGACCGAGGCCAGCTAATTGCATGAGAACCTTTGGCAAGACCTTTCATGTTGGCGGGATGCCATTGATAGATGTACAGTATATACTTCAATACTAAGAAGGATGCACACGCATATGCATAATATATAGGTGCTTGTGAGGAAAAAAGCGCCAGTCGCCAGTCGCACATGGAATTTCCAGCATGCAGGGACTGCAGGGTGAGACTAATCATGACATCCTGGAGTGGCAGAGCGAGCTCAAAGTAGCTGAAGGCACGATGCATCCACAATTGTACGGGGTTCCTTTCTTTCAAAACATGGGCCATGCAATGCGGCCATGCAATGCAGCAATCCTGTTTTGGATCTCGCTTCAACGTGGGTGGCGTGGTTTTGCAGCCGTGCAGGTTTGCAGCAATCCACTGCTGAAGAAGCAACTGCTCATCGTTGGGCTGCACTTTTGTGGAGACACCACCAACAAGCTTGGAGAGTGCGGAAGGTGGGTGACTGCCTGATTTGGGACACCCATCACCCAGGTAAGCTGTTGCCAGAAAAACAAGTCGTTGGCTTTACCACCCAATTCTTCAATCTCGGTCCAAGCAGTTTGCATGGCTGCCGCAGCTGCCTGCTCGGCTCCACTGCTTCGCTCAACCGCCTCCATTCCCTTTGCCAAGTGTTTGAGCTGGAAATTTCTCTCATCTCTGTGGCATTGAGTCAGGAGGAGGCTACTGCTGCGGTGGCGAGAAAGGCTGAGGAAGAGCAGGAAGTGGTTGACCATATGAAGGCGCCGCTGCATGCCAGTGCCATTTCCGAGCTATTGATTTGCCTTTGATTCTATTGAGGCTGCGCTTCAACAAATGGAGTCATGCCATGCCGGAGGTAACCAGGACAGGAGCGCGATCTGCACAAAATGTACTGTAGCTTTCACTTGAGTGTCGTGCTTGCAGGGGACAACTTCAGAGCTCATGCGGGCTTCTCATTGGTTACGACGAGCACCAGACATCGCCGACAAAGTTTTGAAGGCCGATGCTTGGCAGCTGAGTTGTGCCTCCTTGGTGGTTGGGGCACAAGTAGTTTCAACATGTTTCAACTGTGGGACTGAAACATGCCAGCCAAGCATAAGGAAGACAGATTGAAGAAGGAGCGGAACGCGGTCATAGTCACCAAGGAGCTTGCATGCCCGTGGCGATTCAACTCCGCACTGGCTTGTCAGCCTGCCTGACATGTCATTTTTCTTTACCTCTGTCATCCTATCTTTTCCCTTCTTCTTGCTTACCATGCCACATGCTTATGCAACTCATGATGCATTCCATTTTTAATGTTTTCATCTCAGCGATTGGAGAATTATCGAAGCCCAGCTCATTTGACATCAAATGAATTCGACTGTATATTGTGCAGGTCACTCCGCAGAGTTCAAGTGGAAAGTTAGTTAGTTAGTTTGCTTGTTTGTTTATTCATTATTTTTTGCTGAGCCAACTGCTCTTCAAGGATTTAGTTGGATTTTGTCAGGGCCTGTGGCAAGTTCTGTTTTTTTGTTTTTCCCTCCTTCCATCCCTATCAGACAGTTTGACGTTTTACTGACAACGCTTGGACATGCCGTTTCTTCCTGATCAGTCCACAGTCCCACCAAGTATTTTCACCCATTTGTATCCAAAAGCTACTAGAGAGAGAGAGAGAGAGTCTTACACATCAGCTAGTCTCCGGCGTGGGGTCAAGAAATTTTGAAAGGGCTCAACATTCCGAGTCCTAGCAGAAACCTGACTATCTCTATATACCAGCATATTGCTTGTTCCGTCAGCGACATCCAAACCATCCAACCAAAAGCCTCCAAGAACTGTGTGGGTGCACTTGCCATCATACCTCCATCAAGTCAACAACAGAATGAAAGGAAAGAACGAAGAACTGAGGAAGCTGATGATTGTTGTTGTTGTTGTTGTTGTTGTTGTTGTTGTTGATGAACAACGTTGCCTGTATTTTCTCTTGTGGTGTTTGATAACGATGGCATTCTTGGCTTTTGCTTGGTTTGGTTGGCGCTACAGCTTCAAAGTACGAACAAAAAGCAATGAGAGAACCGCATCGCGGCTCCTTGAAAGACAGAAATGACCTCACCTCGCAGACCTCCCCTCACCTCAACATTGACATGCCCCAGCCCATTTTTCACCAACTTAATCCATCTCTTGCCCTTCAGCTGTTCTAGAGCCTACCTTGCCTGAGGTAGCTCAGATTGCTCCATGGCATTTTTTTCACACCTCGTCACCTTGGATGTGATCCTTCATACATCACGTTTCATCGTGGTAGCGTTTGTTCCCTGAGTGGTCATGACTTGAGGTCAAACAGAGCACAGAAAGAAATCTTTGCTCCGTGAGGATGCCATTTGGGCTTTTTCGCACGACGTCGCGCAGAAGATCAAGCTGGTTCAGCAGCAGCAGCATTTGCATCTCGAAGAAGCCGAACTCGTGGACCAAGTTGAGAGGTGCGACTCGACGAGTCACGACGCGTCACGACGAGTTTCGGGCGAGTTGGACGAGTCGTCGATCCGGAGCCCCTTCCGTGCCCTCGGCTGTCCCTAGAGGCTGCGGGAGGGTGACACGGTTGTCAGTGACTTGGGGAGAAGTCTGATGTTGGCAGAGAGGGAGGCTGCCAAGAATGCAGAAGAGGTTCTTGCAACCGGACGACGCCAACTGCAGGACCTTCTATTTTTTGGTGCTGTTTGTGCAAAACGTCCGCATCGGCAGTACATTCAGTTGCCAGGTGATTTGAATGACCCTGTTGCAGAGGAGCAGTTGCATTTCAGCAAAGAGAAGTTGGCAGCCAAGGAGGTTCAAGTGGACCAGCTTCTGGTTGCAAGCACATTGAAGGAAGAGGAAATTGCGAAGAAGCGGGCCAAGCTTCAAGAAGAAACGCAACGTGAAATGAGGCCATGTTGCACTTCTCGCACTGACGTGGTGACAGATTGTAGGGCTTCGTGAGAGCATTCTTGCAAGTGTCAGGAATGCAGAGCAAGCTTCAGCAGCTGCTGGTGGGCTGGTGTCCAGGCCCGAAGCGATTGCGATATCCGGGTATCCGACATTCGATTGATATGATGTAGGAGTAGTGCATATGTTCTGCCATGTCACATCTCAGCACTCATGATTTTCATAGATCTTCCTGCCAGCGTTTCTCAGGCGAGAGGAAATTGTGCATGAGTGTGATGAACTCCGGGAGATGAAGGCCCAGATGCTGGAGACGCAACGGTCCATTGATGCGCGAAAGACCGCGCTACTCAAGGAAACCACGGCGGAGAAAGACCGTGGAAGAGCCTGGGACACGAAGCTTCGCCAATCTGCTTTCGAAGTGCGGGATCTGCGCAAAACTTTGGAGGAAGAGGAAGGGCTGTATCATGAAAGTGTTTCTGCCTTGGAGAGGCAAAAGCTCTCCAAATCAGAGTTGTCAGGCCTCAAACAGCTGAAAGATGCAATGACATTTGCCTCGTATTCTCTGCGCGGCAGTGGCAACCAACTGCTGGCACGAAGATCGTTGCACTCCTCATCCTCCACAAGTTCTCGAGAGGAAATACTAGTTGAGGAGCTACATGCAGCTGAGAACCTGCACATGGAGGCAAGGAAACAAGTGGTCGAAGCATGGCTTCAAATGACCATTTCACATTTCTTTTCGTTCGCTTAATTGTGTTTTTTGTTTCTAGCTACCGTGTACCCAAGGAAATGCGCGCGGAACTCAAGAGGCTCCACGCGGATGCAACCCAGCAAAGCTCAGCAGGCTGGTGAGATGCAGGTAAAAGTTCACTATGCTTTGCCACTGTTCATTCTGCAGCCAAGCAGGCAAGCTGGCAGAGGGTGCAATTCAGGAGCCAAGCACTTGCAGGTAAAAGCGTGTGAAATGCATATCATGGGAAGAGTCATGCAAAAACCATGTTGAACACGAAGCACTCAGCAAGCCCCAAGACGAAGCGCGTTGCAAGCTTGGAGACATCTCCCTTTGCCGCAAGGGTGCTGCGAGCGTTGTCAGGATGCCGCTGCAGAGTCACCGCTTCGGCGCCAGCAGCGCTTGCGCGAGGACCGGAAAGCTGCGGTGCGGCTGCAGGGCGAGTACCGCCGGCGCTCGGAGGAGCGCAACGCAAGAGCGCAGGCGGTGCAGGCAGCAGAGCAGAAGAAAGACCTTTGGATCATGTACAGATTGTATACTGTAAACTTGCTTGAATCCAGGGCACAGGATTTGACAGAACCAACAGAGAGCCCCACAGAAGACCGAAGATGCATGACAATGACATGTAGGCCTTAGCGGGATCAGCCTCTTCATTGGCCCTGTCCGATTCAGAGGGTGAAAGAGATGGAACTCATGAGCAAACTGAGCGGACCGTGGCGGCGCCACCAGCAGACTGGCCACGCCCGACAGTCAATTCCATCGCCGAGTTCCTCCGCCTGAGCCTCGTCGAACTTGCTTCCCCTACAATGCTTCGTGCCCCTGTGAATCTGGTGCCCCAGCCATTGGTAGACTAGTTGGGCTTCATCCTTGGATTTAGTGTTTCGATTGACCCGAAAGTCTTGCAGTTGAGGAAGGGAGAGGAGGCGATGATTGCAACTCGACGTGGGGAGATCCACGCTGCCGAAGCTGCTGCATCAAGAAGATGAATAAGGACGGAGAATTGTCCTCCGACTTGTCCACCGTCTTCCCGTTGAGCCTGCGCCAAGGCCGGAGTGAATTGTGTAGTGTGAACTTTCAGATTTTCACTGCTGCATTTCAATCAACTATATACTGTAGGAGGCCTTCAAGGAGGAGCCGAGGATTCTTCGATGCGAGCATCTCAGCGCAACAGGGAAGGCATTCTCTCTTTTTTTCCACCCCGTTCTGCCTTGTTCTGTTACTTGATGTTACTTTAGAGATCCTTAGACATTTGCCTGCCACATGACGTTGCTCAATGCCGCTGGCTCTAGTACCCACATAGCGACCCGTCGTGGCAGAAGTCTAGTGGCGGTGGCGCTGGAGTGCTTTGAAGGCCATATGAGTTTGTCCCAGGCCATTTCCAAGTTGCTGCTTTTTTTCACTCCTCCCATGCCTAGATGCAGACCGATGGTCCACAGTAAGGCACATCCTTGACCTTCAGCCTCTAATTCAAGATGTGGCTCTAGTCGTCGGAGATGCAAATGGGCGCCTTTTCCATCATGAGAGGGGTGATATGAAATTGGATCGGAAGCTATGGGTGGCATCATCCTCCAAGATGGTTTTTTGTTGTCAGGGCCATGCAGGAAGTAGAGAGGGGGACGGTTGGATTGCATGACCCTGTGAACAAATACCTGGACTACTGGACCAAAGACGGCAACGATCCAAGATCTCGTGTTACCTTGTTCCACTTGCTCAGCTTCCAATCTGGATACACATTTGGCCTCCGCAAGTTCGACTCTTGTTGGCTGAAGCCTTTGTCCAACTTCTCGGCTTGTGTTGAAAGGCTATATCATAGCTTTCCTTTGGGTGCGGAGCCTGGCACTGTTTGGGATTACAATGAGTTCCACAACCAAGTCGCAGCGGCAGTTCTGGAGAAAGCCCTAGGGAGACCGTTGGGCACCTTCCTTTCAGAAGACTTGCGTTCATGGAATATGACGCACAGCCACTACGCAGATCACTTTGGCCCCGGGGGCCCAGATGTGAGTGGTGATTTGGTCAGCACTGCAATGGACTATGAGCAGTTCATGGTACGATACTTTGGAGGGCGCTTGGTTTCAAACAAGACCATGCACTTCATGGAAGAGGACCACATGCCAAAGCGCTGTTCGTGGTCTTCGCTGCCCATGGTCATGCCGCAAGGCCATTATGGGATTGGAAATTGGTGGGTGTGTCCCAACGTCTTCCCAGGATTGCATCATACCAACCTTGGCCCACTACCCCAGCGATGCCGCGAGTCACAGGTTCATTCGGATCCGGGGATCTTTGGGTTTTGGCCTGTTTGGGATCGGCGTTTGGGCTACTGGCTGCTTTTCGCGATGGCGGGTGTTCCCGTGGTTGCAGATGTGAAAGCAGAGCTCTTGCAGTTGGCCCTGAAGCCATTCATAGATCGAGCAGTGAATGGAACAGCTGAGGCTGATGCCTCTAACCTCACTGAAATACTAAGTTGGGAGAAGCTAGTGGCTGATTTGCAGCCTTCAGCACCTGTGCTGGTATAGAGCCCGATCGCAGGTTATGTGCAGATAAAGATGGCTCGTCCACAGTGCTTTCATTGCATCGCTGTTTCCTTGTAGTTTTTTTTCAGACATCCGAACCTTTGGTGAGTTGCAAGTCTCGTGCTCATGTCATTACGTTTGCATGCGCTAGCGGGGTAGACTTGTGAGCCAAGGTCCCAGCTGGTCTTGTCCAAGAGCCTGTAGCTCAAAAACTGCCATGACTGCAACAGGAACTGAGCTGTCCATGCTGCTTCATGTCGATGCTCTTTTCTTAAGTTGCTGTGATAGTCCGATTGAAGCCATCCGACGCTTTGCTCACGGCCCTGTGCTTGCAACTATGGAGCACGAAGTGACTTAGTGACTTCAAAGCATTTTTTGTAGTCACTATATATGTAACTTAGGGCTTAGAACGGCAGCCACCTACCTTGTATAGTACTCGGAGTGCAGCTTGGAAGTGGAAGCAAGCAGTTCTCGCTTCACCTGTTGCTGAAGCTCGAAGGCCCTTGAAGCGCTGATGTGAAAAGGGCTCGCTGTATGTGCTTAAGACTTTTCAGTCTTCGAGATACAGTGGTCGGAGGCCATTGCTATTAGGTTGGAGGCCATCGCTCTTAGGTTGGAGGCCATCGCTTTAGGGTGGAGGCCATCGCTTTTGCTCTCCTGCAAGCTCCCCGCCTGATGCCCCAGCGGCCAACATGCAACGACCGTCGTTAGACGGCCTTTCTCGGGACAGGCAGACGAGGATGAACCTGAAGAAAAGGCGAGTTCAATGACTTTATGAACCTTCTTGATTCTCCATGTTGCTCCTGCAAGTGTTTGGTGGAGACTACTGCCAAGCAACAGGCAGAGAATCGGGATGATTGGTCAGAAAAATGGCATGCAGCCTACGTGTAAGTAAGTGTGACTGCAGAACTTAATCTGACACTGCCCGAGTAATTCCTCAAGAAATCTTCACAAAGGTCGCAGCAGTACTTGGAGATGGCTTCAAAGTTTCGGGACCGAGCTTGATTCATTGAACATACTGGGTAAGCAGCATCCCAGGATCCCTGCCTTTCCATTTTGCTGAATTCTCTTTGAACCGAACCGAGGTTAGGGGAGATGGAGCAAGGTGGTGAGAAGAAATCCTCAGGTGGGCTGCACGGCCACAGCCCCACATGGAAAAGGGCAAGTTACTTCACCACTGCTCAAAGAGCACTTGCTGTAGATCTCTCTCTCTCTCTCTCTCTCTTTCTTTTTGTCTGGCTCAGGTGGCATATTGTTTCTGTAGTCAAAACATAAGCTAAAAACACATAAAACCACATAAAAACGCAATCTATGAAGAAACAGGTGACATGAATTCAGCGTTTGAAACCTATTTGAAAGAGGCACGGATCAGGCTGACATGAACTTGAAGAATCCGACGTGAGGCCTCTTAGCACGCGGAGCCCCATGGCGCAACGTGCTCCATGCACTCCATGGGCCGACGTGACGTGGGCACTCCGCTCTCGTCCTCCTTTGGTCAACCAAATCCAGAGCGGCCCAGTGGCACCGCGTACCAGTGCGGCACCAGCGTACCGAGCTTCATACCGAGCCTCATACGGCATCGCGGCCGTCATGGGCCCTTTTCTGCTGAGTAGGTTGAAGAGACGGTCAGCACGTAGGTCAACTGCCTTGATGGCATACGATTTGGATGCGTGGAAACGGGGTTTCTTTGAGCCGGAAGATGTGGAGGCAGGGTTCTACTTCATTGATGATGTGGACTTGCCCAAGGATTTATCTGGCACACTTTTTCGCAATGGGCCAGGGAAGTTCAAGGCAGACAATGACATGGTGACACATGAGCTTGACGGTGACGGGCTAGTCCTTGCGATCTCTTTCCTTCCGGAAGAAAAGCAGGTGTGTGTCAGACACCGTTTGGTTCAGACACAGGGATTGTTGCGTGACAAAGTGAGCAAAAGAATGTATGCCAAGGGGTATCACGGAACACCTGCTGGAGATGGTGGCTTGCCCGGCGATCCACGGAAGAACTTTCCAAAGCATACAGCCAATGCAACCATGATGGAGTGGGAAGACAAGGTTTTGGCAGTTGGTGAATTTGGCAAGCCTTTCGAAGTTGATCCCGCTTGCTTGGGAACTGTGCTTGGAAATGAAGAAGAAGGTTCATGGGATATTGATGGAGCACTGAACGACAGTGGGATGGGTTCTTGCCCGAAGATTTGCGGCACAGAAGAGCCACCCGACCTGTCAGCTCGGGATTTTTGGAACGTTTTTCCTCAACCATGACATGCACCACACGCGACACATCCAGGTCCAGGTCCATAGTCATAATGGTCACAGTATGTCATAGTCTTTGCAAAAGATCCATGCTGCGCTCACTCAGTGTTGCCTGCCACGGTTGTCCGAAGTTGGTCTGAGCTACTGGCACTTTTTCGTGGCAATTCGTGTTCTTTTCAAAGTTGTTTTCTAGTGGCCTTTGGAAGCTGTATGCTTGACCAGAGCATCTTTTGCGCGGAAGTGTGTGTTTTGTCCATACGTCCAAACGTGGACGATTTGCACAAGTTGTTTGTGGGACGAGGAGTTTTCCCACTTCCGTGATGGTTCCAGGGAGTGTATTTTTCTGCAATTATCTGTGCGCCCACGAGTAGGCGAAGGGACTTCTTCCAAGTGACATCAGAGCTAGCAACTAGCAAATCTAGTAGCAGAGTGCTCTTAACAGTAGAGGATGTGACAATATCGAATGCGGAGTGTAGGTTCGTTGTCGGAACCTATTGGAATCACACCCAGAAGGGACCGCCATGGACGGCCCAATACTTCTCAATATTTCTCAGTGGCTTGATGTAACAAGATCAGCGTTCTTGTTGGACCTGGTCACTGAGGTGCCTGACGTTCATCTCTCAAGCGCCCTCTGCGGTCAACACCACTGTTTGCTACTACGAGTTTGCTCCAGGTGCCTGGAGGGCCCGGTACCGGAAGCCACGGCAGATCGAGGTGGGCGGCTACACGCGTTTTTCGGACTTCGCCATCACGCCGAAATGGTTTGTGTTGGCGAAGGCACCTTTGAAGGTGGATGGTCTGGGTGCAGCTTTTGGCAAGACCTTCAGCGAGGTCCTCGAGTATGACCCGTCAGGCACTGCGGAGCTGGTCTTTGCAACACGTTTGAGGAAAGAGGAGGAGGAGATTGTGATCCCTGTGGATAACCTCGTGTGTGATGAGTTCGTGAATGCTTATGAGGAGGGTTCTCCGGATCGTGTCATTCTCGATATGGTTGCTGCAGATCGCTGGGATGGCAAAGCCCACGAGGGAGCGCGCCCCAGGTGGGAAGAGCTTGACAGAACTTCTTGGCCAAAACGTCGATTGGTTCGTTACGAAGTGGATTTAGCATCCAAGACATGGACCAAAACAGAGGGTCCATTGCAGAAGAATTTGAGCTTCACTTGCGTCAACCCTCTTCTGAATGGCAAGAAGCATTGCTTTGTTTTCGGAGCGGTGTCACAGGAGGAAGTGGGGCCCATGGGAGGGATTGTGAAGATCGACACTGAGACTGGCAAAGTCGATGAGTGGCTGCTCAAACCGGCAGAGTTTTGTGGAGAACCCCTCTTCATCGCTAAAGATGGCATGAATGAGGAAGACGACGGCTACTTGATCACCGTGACATTTGATGGTGAGAAGAGCACCAGTGACGTAGTGATCCTAGATGCCAAGAGTCTTGCACAAGGCCCCATTTGCCGCTTCCCGTTGTCGAATCCAATGCCTCATGGGCGACGAGGTTGTTGGGTGCCCAAGTTGAGCTACACAGCTGAGCAGATGAAGCGCAAGTTTACTCTAATGCGAATGTTCGAGAAGAAGTCGACGCAATGGGACGCGATCAATATGGGCTTTTCAGCACTGGGTGCTCAGGTGCTTTTCGCAAGGCAAGGCACAAGGATGCGCTAATCGAATTCCTTAAGTGAAGGGAAAACCAATCCGGCAGTTTTCCCACTAGTTTTGCTTTACGAAGTCAATTTTCAAATTTTCTGTGCTGTCGCTACCACAGTGACTGCGAATGAATTCTATGGCACCGCGAGCGCAGACATTCGAGGACCACTGTAAGTTCGCTTAAAAAGAGTGTCGGCTGAGCGACAGAGGCGAAAGCCGATTTCCACGGTTGGTATGTAAGCAAATTCCATTGACGGATGGGTAAAGGCTGCAAGGCTGTTTCCACGGATGTACCAGGTACAAGTGAGATGGAGCAGATGATGAAACAGATGGGCTGGCACCTGAGTCATCCCTTGAAGCAGTGCGCACGCGGTCAGACACACATGATGATCAGTGGGATGAGCTTCTTGCATTTGAGGTCTTGATCCGTCCATGATGAAGCAGATGGGTGGGGCTCATTGACATATTGAAGCACAGAAGCAAGCGATTAGACTCCAAACGTCGCTCTGCAGTCAAGGTATGGACCCCAAGTCCATGCAGGACGGGGTTGAACTGTTTGCCTTCAGAGTTGCCACTTCAAATAGTTCTTTAATGACAGTTTTATTTTCATGAAACTTGCGTTAGTCGGAATTCGTGCGCTAAGAATTAATCCTTCAAAATTCAAGGCTGAAATATGTTGAATCAGTTTCTTTTCCTTTTTGGGTGAATTTGTGAGCATGTGCACGCAAACTATAGACGGACGGACGGACGGATGGATGGATGGATAGAAAGAAAGAACATAAGATATATAAGATAAGATAAGATATTAAGAAATAAAAAATACATAAAGAAAGAACGAAAGAACGACAGAAAGAAAGAACGAAAGAAAGAAAGACAGATAGATAATACCCACCACAGACAGAAGAAGGACAAAACGATTTTAGGTTGCTTATGTCTGAGAATTCCATGACAGGGAACAGCCATGACGGGGAACAGATCTGTTCGGGTTTGAAAGAATGTGAGTTTTGACTGTGCTGTGGTTCTCGCTTTAGAGGAGCAAGTCTCAGTTGTAAGCTTGTACGTAAGTTGCAGAGCAGCTTACAACATTCTAGAGTCTAGAGGATGTCTCAGTTCGTCATCAATTCTTTTTGTCTGTTTTACAACATCTTTGTGGGCGGGTAGCGTGTTTGTAAAGTCGCAGAGTCTTGGAGGATTTGTGATGTATACCGTGCATGTCAACTTAGTTATATGTGTGAGATGTAGAGTGGTGTCTTTTCGTGATAGCAATGTCGTGATGTGCGGGGTGGCATTGGGATGTTGCGTTGTATACGTGGCAAGATTTAGGCTTCTTGCGCTTTTTTGCCGTTGCTCGCAACTTGTGGTGACTTTTGGCCACATGTGATGATCATTTTTGTGATTTGTGAGGTGATTTCTTGTGAATGTTTTGGTGAAGCCTTAACCTACGCCAACTTCGACACGTTTCGACCCCAACAACTCCACTTCCTCCTCCCAGCACCTTGACCTCAACTTCTCCTCTTCCCTCCAAGAATGCACATGCTGCAGCTATTTTTGTTAGCAACTTCCTAGCTGGATCGTTGATGCTGCCTTACTTGGGTTTTTCGTTTGATCCGAGGCTGCAAGTTTTTACTTTCTTTCACCCATGAAGGGTGAGGACGGGTTAACGCATTGACAGATCCCTCGTTGAGCATGCAGGAAGTGCCCATCTCTGCATGGGCGTCATTTTTCACGTTCTTGGCGTGTAGCCTGGCTCTCGCAACGGTTTTGACCCACACATGCAATCCCTGAAGGACTAACAGTCTCTCTCTCTCTCTCTGCTAGGATGATTGCATGTTGATGTCCCTGGCGTCGTACTCAGCTGATATCAGCAGGTCTCGCACCTCCTGGCTGAGCCTGATGGAACACAGTGGCCCTGAAAGCACCTCACCCATCTCATCCCCTTTAACTTCTCTCCTTTGGAGCCGTGATTTATCTTCACTGCTACCACCCTTTTTTGACCTTACTGTACTTGATACATTATACCGCTCTTCTTGATTGATTTTTCGATTGTCTCTTGTTGCGATGTCTCATCTTGCTATGCCTTTCCTCATCCTTTCTCATCTTGTGACCTTACGCACTCACGCACCTCAACATCCCATCCCATGGCACTTCACCCGACCTCCTGTCAACCTCCGAAGCCTTGATTGGCAGACACCCGAAAGTTTGAATGGCTTTTGGCTAACAGTCGCAGGCAACAATGCAAACATGAGCTTTCCTCTCCTATCCACAGGAGTGAAACAGTTTGGTCCAACAGTTCTGTTGAGTTGTGGGCATGGCGCAAGCACCAAAGAACGGATATAGGTTCTGCATAGTTGCTACATGTAATGCTGTATTGATGAAGAAGATTCAGTGAGCACGCATGAACAAAAGCCGTTTGTTTTTTAGTGTGAGCCCTTCAATTGCTCGTGCACCCTGAGAAAATGATGAAGCAGATGGGACTGGATCCAAGCATGCTCAAAATGATGGGCATGGACCCATCGATGATGATGCACTGGCCCTACTGGGGTACATGTAAGCCTTGTCGTTGCCAGTGCTGGCAGGCTTGCCCCAAACCTCGGATGAACACCTCTCGCACCTCCAAGGATGAACATGATGAGCATGATGAACCCGATGATGAGCATGATGGGCCGCTGGGTAGCAAACAACGTCCCAATGTGCCCACTAGAGGTGTGTGAATGCAGCCCGAGGTGGTGGCATGGGGGGTGGTAGTGGTGGTGGAATGAGCAAGCTGCTTCCTCAGTGTCAGAACGTTTGCAGCCACTGTGCACAAATCCAGTACCGTATACTAATTCGGTGTGCATTGGCTTTAGGGCATGAATACGAGGTCCATGATGAAGCAGTTCCGCCCTTGGTGGCTTCATTTGCTCTCATTGGCAGTGCTCATGGCTCATGCTACGAGTCAATCAGGATGGGCATGGACTCAAACATGATGCAGATGATGGGTATGGGCAAGAAAAGTCTGCCCCCCCAGCGAGAAACCGACACTTGGTGAGGGGTGCATGACTTGCAATTGAATTGCTGTGCGCTGAGGCGACAAAGATGGGGGGCATGTTAGAAGCTTGTTGGACCGACAGTTGCGGGGAAATCACAGCATTGTTTTGGTGCAGAGGCCCGCTCTCGACAACAAACCCATGCTGGGCGCTTGGCTTCATTCGCGCTTATGCATCTTTTCATTTGCCTTTTGCATCCTTTTGCCAAGCATTTTGAGATTGTACTGGAGTCCCCTTCATGCATTTCCATCCAAGCATATCACATTGACATGATGTATGCAGCCATTTGGTTTCAAGTCCCGCACCGACCCAGCGCACCCTTTGTGTGGCCACAATGAAGCGCCGCTTGGTGATACTCCAAGTCGCCAAGTAATCCTCCTGAGCTGTTGCAAGTTGTCCCAAAATAAAACTAAGAACGACATCAATCATCAAATCAATCATACGAAGAAATCTGAGCTCTTCTGTATCCCTGTCTATCAGTACTTACCTGCTACTAGCTAGCGACCTATTTTTGGTAGATCACCTCATGTCCTACCTCCCCTGCCTCGGAAAAGGCGCCTCCGACGACTGGCACGTCCTACGATGACTGGCCTCACCCGTGTCCCACTTCAGGCAGCTTGGCGTGCCTTGAGTGGCTGGTCCACGGCGATGTCGAGGCAAGCTGTCGATCTGCTCTCGATGTCGTTTTTTGTGGGGCAATGCCTCGGAGCCAGGCCCGCTCCAGGGAGAACCACATGGACGAAGTCTTGAGGAAAGTGCAGAAGGAACGGAGCTTTGACGGTCAGTTGTGGCGAATCATGTCCCGTTGGTCTTTAGAGCAGCCCCAAGAGACCCCCCAAGGAGTTGTATCAGGAGTCTAGCATAGAGTTCCGTAGAACGAGTTCTTTCAGGAGACCTCACAAGACTTCTTGACATATAATATAATATAGAGGTCTGCTCAAAGTACCCCAACAGGCCCCACTTCGGAGCTTTCACAAGACTTATTTTAATTAAAGGGGTCCACTCAGCAGTTCTGACACTAAGAGGATGAACATCCTCCACTCACGAGCTTAGTCTTCGCAGGCCCGTTTTCGAACCCCATTCAATGCAAAGCCTGCGCATGTGATCGCCACAGACAATAAGATGTGCAACCTTGCGTTGAGCCCTGTTCTCGCAGACTCGCTGGGCTAGGAGCTACTTGTAGTATGGAATGAGCTGTGTCGTGGAAGGAATGAATTGTGCTCATGTCGTCATGTTTGCGATCTCCACACGGCTTGCTATCGTGCCCCACACGACATCTGAAACGCACGTCTTCCAAAACGCGGTTGTCCTGCACGATGCCCTGCAACACATGGACAAGCAGTTTGCCGGGCGCTGAAAAGCTGTAAGCTTATCGCTTGGCACAGAACCTCACAGATCATCAACATGCTGAAGGTAGTATGCCTGCCACGAATATTCTGTACTTTGAAGCAGAAAGGATTTGACCTCGCACAGCGCCTTCAAAATGGTCTTGGTGTTCCTGCCCGGGCAGGTGACTGGGGTGACAACGATAATGTGTTTTGGATAGAGATGATAGAGATGGTTTGCTGGGCTCAAGTTTCATGCGAGACTTGCCTGTGAGAACCCTGGATCTCGTGGAGAACCCTCCAGTGTGGCCACACTGTGCGAGGAAAATGTAATGTAGATGAAGCTGCGGACAGGAACAACTTGTTAGATTATATTCTTCCTGAGAGACGATACGTACTCATGCGACCCGTTGTGGCACTGCGCGGAGAGGGTGCTAAAACCCCCCCCCAACCATGGGCGCACGGGGCGCGTGAAGTGGTGTATGCTCTTTGCAGTTTGCAAAGCTTCAACTCCGCAGGACCGAGCGACAATGATCTCGAAGTTGTTGGGTCTGCCGGAGGTGAAGCAACCCAAAACAGCGCTGCTGAAAGCAAAAGCGTTGCTGAAGAACCTCGATGAAGTGTCGCCCGGCGGAAATGAAACACCATGTGCTCGATGGCAATGTTGTTGGCGGCTCAATGCACCGTTTTGCCACAGGCGTTCGGACTGTCTGTGTGAGAATGACACGGCGTGGAAGAAAATTATCCAGCTCTCGCTAAAGGTTGGAAGATGTCAACTTTGAAGGTGTGAATTCTTCCAACCCACTGCATTGGGAGGAGAGTCGCTCCACGGATGACGCAAAGGAGCTTGCTTTCCTCATGGCCCAAAAAAGGCGAGGAAAGCCAATTTAGTTTTGCTGTTTCTATTTTATGACTTCTTGTGAGCACAATAGCTGGCAAATGCTGGTGTAGGCAGTCTGAATATTTGGCAGCGCACTCCAAGAATCTGCACCTTCTAGACGTGTAGCACCCTCAATTGAGAGTGCAAGAACTACTTCTACAGGATAACTAGGACTCCTTGCAATCGTTAGTCATGGAACTCAGGCTCCCATACTTAGACAATGACGTGGTGGAACAGATCCGCGAGAATTTCAAGCTTCGATGCCACTTCGCATACTTGCAGTCCGGCAACAATTGGGTTTCTTCAGGCCTCAGATAGGCCTAAGGTGACTCAGAAAATGTTGGGTGGAGACTCTAATCAATCTTTCAGCTGGCCATTGCCAAAGCATTGCCATGCTCAGGGAGTGTATTTAGCCTATGCATGCCTTGCATGCCGATGCCACTCTTTGCAAGAAAGTCTTGCTTGCGACAGATGCGCATGTCTCATTTCACCACCTGTGAGGCCAAGAGGGTGCCGCGCCCAAGAGAGGCTCCCTGGCGGAAGCGCAGGACCCCGAACTAGATCAAGTCACCAAAGTCTTGGTAGAGTCTCGACTGCACCTGGCATATCGGATGGGTCCAAGTTCGAAATAGGTTCCACCGGTTCCGGGGTGTTGCATTTAGACTAAGGACAAGTTGGAGCGTGCATGGGTGCCTCGGTTCCACTTTTGCTTATTTGCTTGCTTTCTTTTGCCATCGAAGTGTCCTCCCTTCCTAAGGATGAGAGCCGAGAATTGGACACAGCGAAAAAGCTGCGGGACCTTTACACAGAGCAGAAGGAGATCCAGAAGCTAATGTGCCTCTTCCAATCGCAGCCAGCCCTCTTAGATGACGACTATGCATCCACAGTGGAAGAAGGCACGGCACGATGTTTGGCGCAGGAGTTCTCAGAAACGCACAACAAGCCCGCTGCTCTTTCCTGCCTGACGAGCAACCTTGCCACGTTTTCCTTAACACTTGGCAAACGATGCCAAGCAATGACAGAGTTGGCCCAAGCCTGTGAATACTACCGACTTGCACACAAATTCGACCCCGACGAGGCTGTGGTGAAGCCGAACGCGTGCCTGTGCGAGGTTTTGCTGGAGCTCCAGCGAACTGATCACTTCGTAGACAAAGAAGAACTCCGGGAGGTCTTGGCTCTCGCAAGCCGCTGGCAGATCATGGTGCAACTGTGGCCTTTGATTGGCGGACCGCCCCACGATGCGCTTCGGTCCTGGCAGACACAGCGAATCAGCCTTCTGGCAGAAGAGGCCAAGCGGTCAAAAGAGAGCTCAGCAGCGGACATTTTCTTGTACCTCTCCCAGCGTCAGGACGCAGAAGGATCAAAGCAGATGGCCTTTGAGAGCGCGAAGCAAGCATACACACTCGGAGCGTCCTCCGCTCAAGAAGACCTCGCACGCTTGGCCTTGGAAGTTGGCCGTGTGAAAGATGCGACCGACACCATTCTGAAGTCCAAGTTTGACGAAGAGGCCCAGTCTGCCATACAGGCATGCATGAGCATGATGATGGCCTACAGCGACCAGGCGCGGGGCCGACCGGGGCGACCGGAGCCCTCGCCACAGCCAGAGGAGCCATCACCCGCTTCCTGGAGTGACAAGGCAAGACCAAGACAGGTCGCTTTGAGAGGTGGAGACATTTTGACATTTTCTTTGAATCAGTTTGTGCAGGTTCATGATAGCGGATACGCCTTCTCCTTGTCTGTCGTAGGCGCATGGAAAGCGTGCCGGCCAGCTGCGCGAGCAGCATCCGGGCTACGTGCCGACGATTTGCTCACCAGCAGTGAATCCTCTTTGCGAATTTCCGTCGCTGGGCTTCACATTGTGCATTAGCATGCCTTTGCTTGAATGAGCAGCATCAGTGCAGGTTGGTATGCATCGTAAACGAGAAAGTGCAGCTGTAGCATATCAACGATTTGGTGGCGTCCACGTTGAGACAAATTACTCCGTTACCAGCGAACTCATGGATCCTGGAGAGAACAGAAACATGATGAAGCGTGCGAATCATCAGGAGTCAAGGGTGGAAACCGCCCAGCCACCGACCGTTTGTTGTAAGTTTCTTGGAGACTGGCCTGAATCAATCCAATCAACCAAGCAGCCAACTTCTGCAGTGAATGGAGCAAGGGATGCAAAAGTACCAAGCAAGCCCGGGGACCACAAGTCAAGACAAGTACGGACGACCTTCGTGCAACAAAAGCAAGGATGATTGATGACCTTAGAGAATGAAGCAGGTCCAGATCACTTGGAGACCCCGTTGACCGACCAAGTAGTCCAGAAGGCCAGTGAGCAACATGAAAGGAACAACCACCTGCTCAGGCACATGAGATCACTTCCACAACTAAGACTGCGAGGCAGCCAAACAGCCAACTTGGGCCAGCAACTGATCAGCTGGGCATGACCTCAAAGCAATATGAAGGAGAGGTCACCCTGCGCACGCAAACATTTAGCAGAAGAACTAACCCAGCACGCAATCAACCAACCGCTATTCAATAAGACTTTGATTTGAAGGGGTCCCTACAAGGTCTTTCTGAGGGTGTTGGCTTCGCACCCTGTGCAGCCCCCCATCGGGAGGTAATCAAGACAAACATAGGACACAAGGAGCCAGGGTAACTGCAACCAACCAAAGACCGAGCTGCTGACAGCACACTAAACTGATGAAGGAAATGTGCGTTCCAACCTGCATTGCCTCTTAGGATGACAGATTTCTTCAAAAAGCACCTTGTCGGCATGCGATCGGGTTTTGAAAGGCTTTTGGGACCCTTGGTGTGAGAGTTGGTGCATTCCCAACCTGTTGCTTAGCTTCATGGAAGGCCGTGGAAGTTTCTTCAGAAGGAAGAGTATACCGTGCTGGATCTGATGCTGGACTGGGTTTGCACAGCATGCATTTGCCCTTTTGTCCAACGCACGTCTTCTCAAAATCCAGACCCGTCACCACCCAAGGAAGAAGAAGATTGAGAAGCGCTTGTCAGAAGCAGGCCAGTTCGCAGATGCCAATGCTCAGATTGTTTGTCAGATCCCGTTTGGTTGACCCTCGTTCGGCTCAGGCACTTTGCCACCGATTCTGGGTTCAGCCTCGGAACTCCGGCCACCCCTGGCCGATGCCGAAAGGATCGGCCGGCTGTTTGAAAGGCACCAGCGGCAAAGTTGCCCTTCTCTCAGCTGCTCAGTTTGAGTTCGGCGGAATATCGTGAAAAAGGTCGCCCAGCCTCGGTTGTTTGACACTGCCATGGTCAGGTCTTCATTTGCATTATACGCTTGACAAGCTTCCCCATGGTGGGACTCGCCTCTTGCAGAAAGACTGGATTTATTATGGTTCCTGTTTCGTGCTGCCACATGTCTCACCTCAGCATTACAACGTTGTTCCCAGCCTTTTCTGGACCAAGGATTGGAACTCTTTGCCGTCTGAGCGTAGCATAAACATGTTACATTCAACTTTCGACGATCTTGCAGTTTTTTAGCGGCCTCTGCGGAGGTTTCAATTAAGCCTTGGAAGATTGCACCACTCCTATGTTGCTGTGGCGCCAAGAAACCTTGGTCCGTGCATATAGGATTCACAATTAATTGATGATGCACATGCATGTTCCTTTTTTAGGGCCCATGGCAGCATGTTTCAGGACCGCGTGTCGGAGTGAGGTGAAGGTCACCTGATTATTATGCACCTTTTGGCGCAGACGTTAACCAGCTGGCCGAGTGCAGATGCGGACTGGCTGAAACATGGAAGAGTATCGCTTGACGAGTGTGGCCCACGGGACTTGTTGAAAGTGGCCCCTACCCGATGAGATGCTGACTGAATGGCGAGGTCGAAAGGCCAATCCCCTCCACGGGGCCGTTCGGGAAGCAGACATCGCTCCAGAAGTGCGAGGCGCATGAAGTGAGCCAGACAGATGTAAGAGGCGAACATGGCCTTAGTAACAAGACAACGCTACGAACGGGGCTCCTGGCATCGCTACTAGTAACAAGGTTCGCTAAGAACGGGGCTCCTGGCCTTACTACTAGGAACAATAAAGGAAGGGACTTCCGACCGACCCTTGGAGCCAACGGCGTCAGGCGTGGTCGTTCGGGCAGTGCCAACAGAAGCCCGGACCTCAGAGTGTAGGGTGACCTCCCAAAGACTTTCTCAAAACAGATTGAAAAGCGGACTAAGACCCATGGGCCCATGGGTTAGGGGGTCTCCCTACCATCGTTCAGGTTTTTCACTCAAAGACGCACTCCTCGCTCGACCGTGGTGAGGACCCCGCTCTCCGCACCACTCCGGGCAGCGACCGGAGGACGGTCGGTCATGAAAGAGCGATGAATTGGTCGAGTGGTTTTTGGTCGTTTTTGGTCGCGTGCAACGGTCTCGAGACGTTTGGATGACTTTGTACTGAGGGTGGAAAGTTGGTGCCTCAACCTACTGCGATGCTGGAGAAATTCATTTGACTCACAAAACTTATAAGACTAGATTGTGTATATCAGGCTTCCCAAACCCGGACTCAATCTCTCCTATATCACCTCTCGGCAAGCATGTCAAGGCCCCCCGGCCTGCCTGGGATGCTTGGTGCCACGAGCCTAGCATAGTTTTTCTTTGTTTCAACTCAGTCAGGAGACAGCAGCTGTCAAGAAACCCTTGTTGCTTTCGTTTCGATTTCGCATCAGGCGCCGCAGCAGTGCCGTGCCCGGAAGCACTCAAGTCCAGAATTCATGCAACAGAACTGTTGAGGGATGCGATTGACCATGGCACCCAGGAACTCACTCTTCCGGCCAGCGGCCCCGCAAGCTCCAACGGAGGATCCTGCCAAGGTGCGCAGCCCTCATCGGATGGCACAGGGGAAGCCCTGCCGGTCTTTGAGCCAGGTGGCTGCTCGCAAAGCCGCTGCGAGTGCTGCAGCGGCTGCCTTCGCCATGGCTGCCGGGAGGGTGGGCACCTCAAAGACGATGTTCATGGACCCATGGACCGATGAATTTGTATGCAGTGGAGCAATGTCGTGCAACACTTCTTGGCAAGGTGGCCGAGACCTCCCGTGACGCTGCGAGGGATGCTGCGACTGCAAAGGCAGCAGCACCCCAGATGCAGCACTTCACTTGGATCTGCCACGCCTAAGGGGGGTTGAGAGAACTGTTAGACTTCAACACAGTTGATCGCCCCTTGATGCCCCAATGCCTCATTTGGATCGCTGAGGCCAGACCCCAATGACCGACGGCCTGTTGGCTTTGAGTCTGCACCAGCCTTATGGCGCTTCTTTTTCACGCGGCTCGCATTCTATCATTTTTTAATATTTTACAGTATATGCGTTCTTGTTTGCCGATACTGGCTTATGTTGTGCTGATATCTTTGGCTTCAGTTGAAAAACACACATTGTCAGGGTGAGGGCGGACATGGCAGGTACGGCCCTTTGTATCCGTTTGCCTCCGTGGCATGCTGCATGCGCTGGCGCCCCACCAAGGACCTGGCATCCGGACCCTCTCAACCCTCAGATGAAACCGCCGGTGAAGCTTTGGCTGCCCAGTCCTCGGCAAGGATGAAGCAGTGTCCTGTGCATTGGCAGCATGCTCTCCTAGGCCGGAGCCCACTGTGCAGGAACAAATTGCGTCTCCCAGACTCAGACTTGATCCCACGTCTAACAAACCACATCGAGAGATCTTTGTCGACAAACACTTTTGCCAGAGCAACTTGCCTTGTTTCGGAAATTATCTTAGACAAAGGATGAAAAAGGTAGGACACCCAAAGCAGCTAATATACTTCGAGGACAGAGTCGCCAGCTGTGATTTTGGAGTTGCAGAGTTTCCACCTTTTCTCGGCCAGGCAGAGTTCGGCACCGGAGCTGCAAAGACATCATCAACCACCTGCAGATGATAGGCGGAGGAGTGAGAGGCTTAGGGCCAGAGCAGATAGAGAGGAGAATAGCTTGACATGCTTGGGTAGCTAGATGGTGACAGTCACCAACATGATTGGGACAAGCTTTCGTTTGAAGATGCTGGCAGCGCAGCTGAACATGTTGAGTCAGGTCCTCGACGCAAGAGTCGCAGTAAGACTCCAAGAAGAAACCGCAAGGGGCTCAGGGAAGGTTGAGGGAGGAGGGATTAGCTGGAGCCGCGGGGCCAAGGCGAAATTAGGGAAGACATCAATGTGAAGCGAAGCACTTGTGAATTGAGGCAAGAAAAGCAGTGGTGGTTGGGACAACGAGGAGGCAGCAGTGGCAGCGACCCGCCTGTGCTGAAGCAAATCCATTTTGCATCATTTTGCATCATTTTGCAATTATATATCTATGTCTATCTCTATATATATATTTATAGAATATAGCTGTCTCTCTCCCTTTCTCTCGGTGTATGCATATACATGTATATACATATATATACACATACATACACGCTTTGTAGCCAGGGAGAAGCGGCCTTTTTTTTGCAGGCCGCACCTGCACCAGCACCCTCTTCTTTTACAGCACAGGCAGCTCCATCCAGGCCACATTTTGACTGCACTCCGGCCAGATTGGGGGATAGAGTCAAGAGTAGTTCAGCAAGATCTGGCATGGCGAGGGAACATGTAATAATATGTAGATTTATTGTTTTCAATGCATCGGTTTTTGGATTAGTGCTGGTGGCAATTGAAACCCGGCGGTGCAGATCTTTGCTCACACTTTGCAGCTGTGACCTTTGCCTGTTGCACTTTCACCCTTCCACCTTGGTCCCAGATGACAGATTCGTGGAATTTCCAGACATCTACCTATCTATATATGTAGATACATAGGTATATATTCAATACATTATGCACATGCAAAGTATGTTTATGTGCGGCATGAGCCATGCCGGGGTCACTCCAAGATGAGTTTATATAGATGGGGAGTTCAGATAGGGAGAGTCCAAATGTGTAGCTTGGCATCTAAACGCTAGGCCGGCGTTGCCGCCAGGAGCAGTCCCGGCCTGGGTGGCAAGCAGAAACTTAAGGTAAAGCTAGAGGGGTTCCAAACATGTTTGCCGAAGCAACAGCAGGGAAGACGGGAAGACGTATGTCAGCCAGAACCCTAGCACTGCCTTCAATTTGAGGCTCCGCCTATGCTGCCAGGCCCGCCTACAGCAGGAGGAGGCACGACCTAACTTTGTGGAGGGGCAAGGGCATTTTATCCGTTGTGCCTGTGGTTGGAGGTCAAGTGGTTCCTGTGAACCGTTTCGGAATCCCAGAGGCGCAGATGGAGTCATGAGAGGCCATAGCTCCATGCTCTAGCTGTAACGAGGCCACACCAGAGGCACTTGCTGCTGCAGTCTTCAGAGCGCAGCAGGCGGCTTCCTCTTACATTCTTTGACCTTTTGGTTCTTCATTTGGGTTAGTTTTGTCAGATAGAGCAAGCGTCACATGCTGAGGTAGAAGCTGCTGGCCTGGAGGCGTAGACATGCCCTCATGCACCTAAGGAGAGCATAACATAGCAAGGTGCTGAATGAAGCGAGACAATCAATCAAGATGCAGAGATACAGCAAAAGCCAGCTATGTACAGTTCCATAGAGCCAGGGCCAGGTTTGGGGCCACTGTGAACAAACGCTCAGCAGCCATTTTGTTGTCCAGGCCATCCGCTCGACAGGCAAAAGCTTTGTATGCTTCGTAGACGGTGGTTTAGTGTGCTCAGACAACAGCATGCGGCGAGCTCTGTATTGTTTTAATTTTGTGCAGTCTGACGACCTCAGGGCAGATCCCCCGGGGTCCACCCGATTTGCCGACTGGAACGGTGAGGGTGCCATGATTGGATGGTTTGCGGCGGATTCAAGATGCAAGTGATGTCACAGCCCTTTGCCAGGAAGTCATTGAGCAGAAGTGTGTTGCATATTTGATCGGCAAGGGTGGTCAGGCCTGAGCTCAAGCAGAGTTGGGTTCAAGCAATGGGAAAGCCGACTTTCATGAAAGGTAGCAGTCAGGGGGGATACCTTGAGTTAGTAAGGGTTGGGGTTGTCCGATCATGACATGATTCATCCATTCTACCGTCCCCGGGTTTGGGCTCGACATAGAAAACCCCGGAACTGCGGGCTTCGACCAGGCCCTTGCTGCTATCAACGCTGCTGCCGGTGTATCCATCCAGATTGCCTGCACACCCAATGTGTAGCCGTGCAGTTGTGAAAGCTTGGATAAGCTAGAGGCTTTGGAATTATGCTGCACAGATTGAAGACGGCTCGTATGATCAACCAATAAACTAACGCAAGACCGTGAGGACGTTGTGTCCGCAATTATTCCATCACCAGGACCAAAGCACCAAAAGCTTTGGCTGGAGTCACTTGGCTGCCAACCCTTTGTGATCTCAAGCTACATTGTCCTTGGGTTCCTTGATCCATGATTCAAGAAGGGGTGTGCAAGGCATGGCAAACATTTACGGCACAGAGGAAGGAGCAGCAAAGGCGATCCGTTTTTGTTTCTTCTTTATCCTGTCCCACACCTGACAGCCACTTCTTCCAGGCCAAAATGATCCTCAGACAGAAGGTGTCGGAATACCGTCCTCTCCGTGCGTAGGACACGCCTCAGTTTGTGCTATGACAATAGTGTGAATCTAGACATGTTATCACAGCTTATATAGTGATTTTTTGCAGCTAAGCGTAGCTAACCTACGCACTGAGCAGGACCAGCGAGAGAGTGGTTTTGCGAGCATTCCTTCACCTGCAAGGAAAGGAGCAGGCCATAATATCTGCCATTGCTTTGGTCTGGGTTTCTTTAGTGTTGATCCAGCAATGCTACTACAGGAATTAGGTGGTGGACTC